TTCCCGACGGATCGGTAGCTGTCCGGCGTGGAGAGCTTCCATAGGGCGATGGCCACCCGCTTCTGGAGGGGGATGGCAGGCCTCATGCGAGTGTCCCTTCTGCGCAGGGCAGGGGCGAGCCACTCGCAGAGCTCCAGGAAGGTGTCCCTCCTCATCCTGAAGTTCTGGGTCCACTGTAGGTCTTCCCAGCGCTCCAGGACGATGTGGTCCCCCCAGTCGCTGCTGGTGTCCAGACGCCAGATGTGGCAGGGCACGCTGGCATCGGGGCGCCGTTCCTCCAGGGCCCCCAGGAGGGGTAGGGGGAGGGCCAGGGGGCTGGCCTGCAGCAGATGGTGCCAGGCAGCCTCCAGCAATTGCTACCAGGCTTGCAGCAACCCATTCAACATGAGCACCAGAGTGCCCAGGGGCAGCTCTGGCTCCATGGTGCCGAGTGCTGTGGTGTCCCAAATGAGAACGACCAAAACAGACAGAGAGGAAAACGCTTTGCTGTCCCTCTGCGAGGCTGGCAAGCAAGCGGAAAAGCTGAGAACTGGCTGTCCAGAGGGGTCCTTTTAAGCACGAGCCTCAGATCGCCTCAGACAGCAGGCACACAAAGCAACTACTGACCTGATGCTCTGCTGGAACCAGTTTCAGCTGCCTTTAAATGTGATCCAGCATCCAATCAATGTGAACACGCTATTTCAAAACACCAAAACGCTATTTCGAATTAGATTTTGTGTCTAGATGCGTTATTTCGAATTAGCTTAATTCAAATTAACTGTTTAGAATTAAGTTAATTCAAAATAGTGCTGTAGCGTAGACATACCCTAAGAGCCTTTGTCTCATTTATTGTGTATCTCATTTAATGCACCCAAAGGAGTTTAATGGGCCCTGTTTGTCTGGTATAGCTAGAATAGCGAATGGCTCTGCAATGTGCTGCACATATAAACCAAAGACGGTAGAAGAATATGTATGCAGTATTATAGTTAAGAAGCAAGACAAGATAATGTAATTAAATTAATGTGTATGTGCAGGCAGGCAGAGTTAAACTTAGCCTTGCAACATGCCTTAGAATTTTCTGACTTTACAATACCAAGGAGCACAACTTGACTGTCCTGCCAATATAGCTTTCTTTTGCTGGAAATACAGGCCATCCTGTCTGTTTAGATTGTGTCTGTAAGATCCTTAAGCAGAAACTTGACTTCAGAGCATTGGCCAAAATATCTGCCAGAATTTAGTTTGTGGTGATCATAATTTTTTAAGTAATGAGAGCAGCAGCCCATCCAGCAGTTATAGAGTCCTTGTGATGTGACATTAAAATGTATACTTATTCCATCTTTTTGTTTTGTCTGTCTCGCCTCCTGCTCACTCCTAATTCAGACAACATCCGATGGAGTATCACATAGAGGAGGCCAAAAGACTGAAGCACAAAGCTGACACAATGGTAAGTCTTGACCTTCTGCTGGAAGGGTTAAAAAGTTTTCTAAATAAACCTATGGCTTTCTTAAGAAGGTGGACTTTTTTTCCACATGTCCTTGTGATGTGATATTGCCAACAGCAAGTGCTAAAAAATCACGAGGCTAGCACTTGTAGCCGTAGGCCACAGCTTAGCCGCATTAGTTCAATTTTCTAAATGAGTCCACACCACCAACTCCATTCGGCCAACTTTAAGGGGTGCTCAAGTTGATTTTAGTACTACTTGTTGAGAGAAATAACAGTCAATTCCCTTGATTGACTTTAGGGTAGTGCAGATGCAGTGCTGTGAAATGTGTCCCACGGTGCCCCAATGTGACCTCTCTGGCCAGCATTTTCAACTTTCCTGCTCTTCAGGTACACAGGGAAAGGTCTGGGAAAGTTTGATTTGCATTTCCTGTGTGGGCCAGCATGTCAAGCAGACCTTAGAGCAGGCAGCGCACCTCAGCAGCACACTTGACCATGAATGCCTAGGGTTGCAGACGAGCTCCAGCATGGAGCATGCATGAGATCCTGGACCTGACTGCTGTGTAGGGAGAGGAATCTGTGCAGGTAGAACTCTGAAGCAGCAGACGAATATCTATGCCAAGATCCACCGGACATGGTGAGTAAAGGATATGCCAGGGATGCCTACCATGAAAATAAAGAAGTTGAGGCAGTTGTACCAAAAGAAAAGGAGGCAAACGAATGATTTTGGTCAGCTCTGCAAACATGCCACTTCTATGAGCAGCTGTGGGGGATTATAGGGGGTACTCTTTGGGCAGCCTCGGGCAACAACAGGAAGGACATTGTTGAGAAGGAGAAGGAGAATTGTCAGCAGGCAAGCAGAGTATCCAATATCACTGACATTCATGACCTTTTTGAAACTTTGAAGAAAATCTCCTCCCAGCATATCTCAATGCCAGGCCCTCACGAGTTCATTTTTAATCCTTCTCCAAGTGTGTTAAGGCAATTGTGTGATCTGTGGTGTCCACTCTACCTACACAGCCGGGGCTCCCCAGAACACCTTGTTAACGTGTCTGAAGATGGAGCAGGAATCTTCCCTGCACATCTCCATAAAGCTCTCGTAGAGATACTCTTTCATCTTTCTCACCAGGTTTCTGGGGAGATCAGCCTTATTCTGTCCTCCACGGTAGGACACCTTTCCACATCAAGCCAGCAGTAACTGGTCTGGCATATTTACAGCACAAAGCAGTGCAGCATAAGGTCCAGGCTTCTGGCCACATTCAGTCAGCATTCACTCCTTATTGTTCTATATGATTCAAAGACTGATATTGTTTGTGGCAATGTAGATGAAGCAGGGGAAGATATGTAACTGATACCACTGAAACAGTACACCTCTATTTGCTCATGCCCAGCAAAGTATGGTTTGCTGACCATGTGAGCCTGCAGACTCCTGTGGGAAGAGAAAGTTGCACTCTCCCAGCAAACAGGGTGCTGAACACATGGTGACTGTGCTCTGCCACCATGCCTGGCCTCCTCCAGAAAGTTGCACTCTCCCAGCAAACAGGGTGACTGTACTCTGCCACCATGCCTGGCCTCCTCTCCCTGGTAGACTCCTGTGGAAAGGAAAAGTTGCACTCTTTGGGCAACAGGGAGTGCCAAACACATTGTGACCACATGAGCACCTGCCCTGCCACCACGGCCAGCTCTCCTCACCCCTGCATAGCCCTTTCAACCACAGACCCCCTTTGCAAACGCAGTCACTTACTTAGCCATGGGAACTGCTATTTTTAGCCACTATCTTACACTTGCTTTGAAAGTTGATGCAAAAGAGCGAGCCCCAACCTGTTTCTTACAATGTTTGACACCAAACCTACGTGCTGCATAATGGACAATTAAAAATATGATTTGGCCTTGTATATAACATATGGCCATTGTGTTGGATGGACGTACTTTCATGCTATGATATTAGCTTCTGTGTTCTACAATCTGCTCTTGACTTTTTTTGTTACAGTGGGTGCAACAATGAATCTGTTGCCCACTCCTCCAACTCTTCCAGTTATTTGGCTAACACAGATCTGAAGGCAAAAAAAAAAAGTAATTGGGATGAGCTGTTTAATGAGCAAATGCTATCCACCCACATGGACAGGACACAATTAAATGCGTGGAGGGGAACAATGTTACAGGAGATGTGGAGAGGAGAGCATGCAGAAAATGTGAAGCCAAGACCCAGGAGGAGATCTTGAGACTCTTGGAGCAGTAAATAGAGCTTGTGATGCACCTGGTAAAGGTACAGGAGAAGCAGATGGAGCCCAGAATCTCCATATGCCTCATGCTGAACCACTTGCCTTCCTCATCAAGTTCCATAGTCTCCCCTCCCAGGCACTCTACAGTGTGGGGGGGAAGAGGTAAAAGTCATGGACAGCATTCCAGTCAGCTGACAGGGAGATCTCCCAGAACAGAATGCTGTCATTCCCACACCTGTGATTGCTGAACAAGGAGATTGCAATACACCGCTTGCTCTTGCTTCCCACTCTCCCGCTCTGAACTGCTTTTCTGTCTCTGCTTCCTTGTGTTCCCTAAATAAAAATGCATGATTTCCCAATAACAGTATTTGTACTGCTTCCGTTACACAGGTAGAAAGGGGTTTATAAGCCAGCGCACTTAATGCACAGGATACCTTTATAAGAGCAACATCCATAATTGTCATATTGCTGCCTAGTCCTTCACAAAGCTGTTTTTCAAAGCGTCTCTGATTGGCAGTGCCCTTCGATGTGCTCTCCTTATTGCACATAGTTAGGATTGATCCTGCCTTGGGCAGGGGGCTGGACTTGATGTCCTCCTGAGGTCTCTTCCAGCTCTATGATTCTATTGTCCTGGTATCTGGCTGCTCATAATTACTGACTTCGCGATCTCCCCACCAAGGCATACAATTTTTCCCCCTTTCACAGACATTATGGACCACACAGCAGGCTACTGCAGCAATAGGAATGTTGTTTTTGCTGAAGTCAAACCTAGTCTAACTGTGACTTTAAACGCCCAAGAGCACATCGTACCACTGTTCTGCACTAGCTCAGCCTGTGGTTGAACTGCTCCTTGCTGCTGTTGAGGCTGCCTGTGTGCTCCTGTGAGCCACAGGAGCAAGGGGTAGCTTGGGACTTCAAAGATCACAGTTGGTATTTCAGTGGCTCTGATGGTAATTTTTCAGTCTGGGAAGAACTCCATCTTGCAATTTTCTGAAGAGACCAGAGTTCCTAAAGATGTGTGTGTCATGCATCTTCCCTGACCATTCCACATTGATTCTGGTGAAAAAGCCCTTCGAATGACTGTTCATGTTCATTCCGTGTAGGTGTGTGCACACTGCATACATGCATCTTCGGAAGATTTTCCCTTAGTAGTATCCATTGAGCCAGCAGGGAAGCACCTTGGAGTCGCACCGCTATATCGGTTAATATATCCCCCTGCTGGCCTTCCACCCCCGCAGTTCCTTCTTACCGCTTGTGATGGTTGTTGGAACATAAGTCACTCTGGGTATGTCTACACTACAGCACTAATTCGAACTAACTTAATTCGAATTAGTTAATTCGAACTAAGCTAATTCAAACTAGTGCATCTAGACCTAAAAATTCATTTGAATTAGCGTTTTGCTAATTCGAACTAGCATGTCCACACTGAGTGGACCCTGAACCGAGGTTAAGGATGGCCGGAAGCAGTGCCGGCAGGGCATCAGGTTAGGACTTAGAGTGTGGAGCTGCTGTCTCAGGCTAGCCGAGGGCTGTGCTTAAAGGGACCCGACCCTCACCCCGGACAGACAGTTCTCAGGGTTCCCCGCTTGCTTGTCTACCTTGATGAGGGACAGCAAAGCAGTCCTGACTTGGAGTGCCCTGAGTGCCCACACTCGGCACATCACAGCACTCGGCCATCAGCCCGGCTGCACTTGCCGCAGGCT